CTGGAACGTCAGGCAGAGAAGACGCAGTAGGGGACGGCAGGGGAACACGCTGCGGAGTAGAGGAAGGACGCAGGGCCATGAGGTGCGTGCGGGAGACAGCCGGCGGACGCTCACGAGGAACACGACGACCAGTACGACCAGTGGGGACAGTGCGAACACGTGAGATAGGACGAGATGCAGGCACACGACGCTCAGCAAGACCTCCTGTCTGCTCAGTGTAAGGAGAAGGAGTAGGCAACGGTGAGCCAGGCTGTAACGGATGACCAGTAGAAGACGGGAGGCTAAGAACTTGGCGAAGCACAGAGTCAGGTAGCGGCAGAGACGAAGGTGACGGCGGAGCGAAGAACAGTCGCGGACGTGCAGTGCCACTAGCACCAGTAGCTCCAGCACCTCCAGCAGCTCCAGAACCTCCATCCCCAGTGCCTCCAGCGCCAGCACCTCCGACAGCTCTAGAACCTCTAGCGCCAGCACCTCCAGTACCAGCACCTCCAGCAGCTCCAGAACCTCCAGCTCCAGCGCATCCATCGCCAGCACCTCCACCAGCTCCAGAACCTCCAGCAGCTCTAGAACCTCCAGCGCCAGCACCTCCAGCAGCTCCAGAACCTCCAGGGCCAGCGCCTCCAGCGCCAGCACCTCCACCAGCTCCAGAACCTCCAGAAGCTCCAGAACCTCCAGCGCCAGCACCTCCAGAACCAGCGCCACCAGCAGCAGCACCCCCAGAACCGGCACCTCCAGCCCCAGGGTCTCCAGCCTCATTGTCGACAGCAGCACCTCCAGGTCCACCAGTACCTCCAGCCCCAGCAGCTCCAGTACCTCCAGTACGAGCACCGTCGGGACCAGCGGCTCCAGGAACTCCAGGAGAAGCACCTCCAGTAGCAGAGTCACCAGCTCCAGCGCCTCCCGTAGCAGGGCCCCCAGCTCTAGCAGCGCGACCCTGACGGTGAACGGACCACTCACGCAGCTGCTGTGCGGAGAGAGGAACAGCGCCAGCTCCAGTGCCTCCAACCCCAGCGCCTCCCGATGCAGGGCCCCCAGCTCGAGCAGCGCGACCCTGACGGCTAACGTACCACTCACGCAGCTCCTGTGTGGTGAGAGGGACACGCCGACGAGAGTGCTGCGGCGAGGCACCAGCGGAGCGACTACGGAGGCGATCGCTCCAAGGAGACTGCTCACCAGGCGCCTCAGTGCCCCCAGGCGCAGCATCGCCAGACCCAGTACCCCAAGGGTCAGCACCCTCAGGCTCAGCACTCTCAGGCTCAGCAACTCCAGGCTCCACACCCCCAGGCTCAGCACCCCCAGGCTCCGCACCCCCAGGCTCAGCACCCCCAGAAGCAGCACCCCGAGCAAGACCACCCTCAGCAGGACCTGAGTCACCAGTGACCTCAACCGGCTCATTCAAGGGAGGAGGGTCTACCTGAGACACACCTGAAGGAGCAGGACCGGGAGCGGGGAGGGGGTCTACCTGGGGAGGACCTGGAGCGAGGAAGAGCGGCGGGGGAGGGAGAGGGGCAGTGCGGTAGCGGAAGAGACAGTAAAAGGGAACCGACTCGTCGAACGCGACGTCTTGAGAGGGGAACGCACGGCGCGAGGTGGGGTGGTAAAACTGCCAGCAAGGCACGTTAGGGACAAAGCCAAGGAAGAGACAGAGAACAGCGCGGACAGAGAGCTTGTCCGCGGTGGTATCGCGGACAAAGGCACGAGAACCCCAGACCCGGAACACCTTCGCATCGCCAACCTTCCCCGTCCACCGCAGTGTGGGCGAGGTATCCGGCAAGGAGACACGGGGCCAGAGGTTGAGCTGATGCGCATCGCAGCGGACTGCAAACGGCCACAGAAAATGGGGAGCAGCCGCATGGACCATGGAGGTACGAGCGACCTTCATGACCAAGCCAATGCGGCGCTCAGCAACCCCAGTTTGCTGCGGAGAGGCCGGAAGCGAGAACGTCTGGCGAATGCCCTCCCCATGACAAAAGCTCTACAGAATGTCGGAAGAAAACTCTCCACCTCTGTCAGAGTGCAGACGCAGGACGGGAAACTCCGTCCCGAACCGCTCGTGGAGCTGGAGACGGACAGCGCGGATCCAAGGGATCAAAACATCAGGGACCTCACCCTTGGTGCGCGAGGGGAAGACCGTGGTGTAACGCAAGAAGTCGTCAACAACCAGCAAGAAGTACCGCCAGGGAGACCGCCACTGGCCGACGCAGCGGCGTGAGCGTGGTGGAGTCACAAAAGAAGGAGCGGGAAGCACGTGAGTCAAGCGTGAAGGTGTGCAAGAACTCAGCTGGTGCAGTACCTGAGAGAGCAGCCTCACCAGTACCTGGAGCAGCAGACTCACTAGCACCTAGAGCAGCAGCCTCACCAGCACCTGGAGCAGTAGACGCACCAGCACATAGCGCAACAGCCTCACCAGCAACTAGAACAGCAGACTCTATATCTGGGTAAGGCGGTACACACAGGTAACAGGCATCCTTAGCACTAGTGCATACATGGCAGTGAGGATAGCATCATAGACTAGAGCAAAGATATCCACCCTCTGCCTAAGCAGCTCCAGCCAGTTGGGGACCTCAGCCTTGTCGCCAAACACGGTACGCCATGCGTCGCTCAAACAGGCGAAGCAGTGGGACTGTGTGTGACCAATCGTCCCGCAAGTCTGACCAGCCAGATCACCTGTTTGAATGACGTACTAGCAGCGAACGGTACTCCGAGACCCTCTACTCTAAGCGTACCACTCACGAAGCTGTTGGGGCGGAAGGGTCTTGCGCGGACGCCGCTGCAGCTGCAGCTGGCCACTGCGTAAGCTCTCGACCGACCAGCTCCAGGGCGACTTCCACTACGGCCGCCACTACAACCCTAACGAGCATACCACTCACGAAGCTGGTGGGGCGTGAGGGACTCGCGCGGACGTCGCTGGAGCTGCATCTGGTCACCGTCAGTAGCAGCAGTAGCAGCAAGAGTAGCAGTGCAGAAGTAGTAGCAGGAACAGCTGGAACAGCAGTAGTAGCAGGGCAGAGCAGCGCAGCGCAATAGGTCAGGGCGGCGCAGCTTGGCAGAGTGGCGCGGCTCAACTGAGCGGCGCGGCTCGGTGGGCAGGCAGGCGCAGCACGCGCTGCAGCGCGCTGGTAAGGCAGGTGCGCGGGCAGTGCGGGTAGGGCAGGTGCTTACCATAGGCGGTGGGCAGGCGCGCAACAGGCACGGGTAGGGCAGGGCCGGCGCTCGACGGGTGGCTGCAGGCGCTCGACGGGTGGCTGCAGCGGGTGAGGCGGGGCGCAGGCGGGCTGCAGGGCAGCTGCGGGCGCAGGTGAGGCAGGGGCGGCGGCCAGGGGGGGGCACCGCGACAAGCAGGGACGGCGCCCAGGGGGCGCCGCGACAAGCAGGGGCGACGCCCCGGGGGCGCCGCAACGAGCAGGGACGGCGCCCAGGGGGCGCCGCGACGAGCAGGGGCGGCGCCCAGGGGGCACCGCGAGGAGCAGGGACGGCGCCCAGGGGACGCCACGACGAGCAGGGGCGGCGTCCAGGGGGCGCCGCGACGAGCAGGGAGGGCGCCGCGACGAGTAGGGACGGCACCCAGGGGGCGCTGCGACGAGCAGGGACGGCGTCCAGGGGGCGCCGCGACGAGCAGGGACAGCGCCCAGGGGGCGCCGGGACGAGCAGGGGCGACGTCCAGGGGGTGCCGCGACGAGCAGGGGCGACGCCGCGCGGGTTCCGCAGGGGCGTCGCGACGAGCAGGAGCGGGTGCGCAGAACAGGCCCGCGCGCGGACGTGGGGCAAGTGCGCAGGCGGCGTGAAAGCAGGCCGCGCGCGGGACCGCGACGGCAGGGCAGGCGCTCGAGGGCGCAGGTGGGGCAGGCGCTCGAGGGCGCGGGTAGGGCAGGCGCTCGAGGGCGCGGGTAGGCAGGCGCGAGGCGCGTGACGAGGCAGGCAGGCACGGCAGGGTGGCTCGGGCAGGACTGGATTTTTTTTTTTTTTTTTTTTTTTCGTGGTGGGCCCTAAAAAAACGTTCCCACTTTGGAACCTGCTCTGAAACCATGTGAAGGATAGAACGACGAATGAACGAACTAGGTAAAAGTTTGGTACAAGTATAAAACCCTAAAGGGACTATACCCCACATTAGCTACCCCACTACAGCCTACACATATGTAACACATATATAATTTGACGTGCCCCGTAGTTGGCCTCACTTTGGGTCATTCGAGACCCACTTCGGGTCTTCCGGCCAAAATTTCCCCCTGGTCACGGAAAAGAGGAAGTTTGACCCGGAAGTTTGACACGAGCCAGGGATGTACCCAAACTCAGCAGCCCGCCAGCCACCCCCATCTATCTTAGTCGTCTTCTATTCCATCCCATCCCATCCCATCTCATCCCATCCCAACCCATCCCCGACCCATTCACCCCACCCATTCCATACCATCCCGCCCCGTCCCCCATATGGCAAGGCACCACGGCAGTCTAGTTTCGGATCGGACCTCTCTGCTCTCCCTCCCGCTCAGACCCTTCCCCTCTCCTTCCAAGCCCCTACCCTTGTCGCTCTCCCATCCCATCCCATCCCATCTCCCATCCAAAATTGTGTCATTTTGCCGAAACGAACGCGGGGGATTCACCCTTCAAATCAATCGAGAACGGTGGTTGTCACTCATCGCCTCCCCTCCCACCACTCCGACTCTCCCTCAACTCCACTCAACTCCTCATCCCGTCAACTCTCCATTCCGCCCATTCGTCAACGCAGAAACATTTGTCGCTGGCGACTCGCGCCGAGCATCACCACCACCACATCTCCGCGCTATTTTCTTGCTTTGCCAGAGCACTTTCATTGAGCTTCCTAAGGATTATTCCGGTGAATGATAGTCAGCCTCCTGACTAGCTTCTATATTCTACGTCCCAACAGAGTAACTCCGTGAATCATTCTATCTCGCTGAATCGAGGTGACCCTCGCCTAGCAAAACTATCACGAATAGTCCTTTTCGGATCTTCCGCATTCGCGCTCGAAGTACTGATGAAGAGTAATGGCGGTTCTCGCGCTGCGCCAAGAGTCTCTAATGCGCGTCGTGGTCCTAGCATGTGTCGCGTGTACGCTCGCCGTAGCCCTCGCAGGCAGCAACAGCCAGGATCTTGCTGGTGCAGACGCTGTTGCGAACGTGCAGATCACGCCTAATGACCCGCCAATTCGTTATAAGCTCATCACAATCCTCGCTCCCTTAGCCTGCATCGCGCTCGCAACTCTCGCTTCCATCCTGTCTCTTTTTTTCATCGTCGCATCGCGATGGGCAGGTCGAGTTCAGGTCGACTTCAATCCCGCTCCGACCCTGTCGTCGTTGTCGTCAGCATCGCAGGGCGACGCCTCTGGCGTGACTCTTACCGCACCCAAGACAACCTGCTCCTTCGCGCTGCGAGAGGGTGAATCGCCATATGCCATCTTCGCGCCGTCCAAGCCAACGTCCACCAGTGCGCGCGTGCAGGCCGTTCTTGACGTCGTGCTGCCGGCTGCCGTCAAGGCCGTCAATTGGACCGCTAGGCAGTCAGGGAATTACGCGACGTGGTTCCGCCCGTCGCACTGGTTCCTCCCGAGCGACGTGGAATCGATGCTCCGGGTCGCGTCGTGGTGCACGGGACTGAACGACTTCGGCGACACGGGGTTCCTCAAGGGTCTCGCGCTCTGCGTGCACGTTACGGAGAAGTACGCGAGTCTCACGCCGTTTGGCCGGATCGCCATCTGGCTCGACGTGCAGCGCATGCTGCAAGGCTGCCCGCGCCTCATCGACTGCCGGAACTGGTTTCCGGAAATCGAGGAGCAGCAGGTCCGCGCGCCGATGGTCATCCTGGGAATGCCGCGCACCGGCACGACGCTGCTGTACAACCTCCTGTCGCTGGACTACGAGCGGTTCCGCTCGCCGCGCGCGTGGGAGTGCCGCTACGTGTACCCGCCGCCGTAGGCGGAGTCCTTCCGCTCGGACCCGCGGGTTGCGCTGATGGACTACACGGTGCGCGCGGTGCACGCGTTGATCCCGGATATACCATCCATCCATCCGGTGTACCCGGAAGGACCGCACGAGACGTTCGAGCTGATGTGCTACGATTTGACGTCGTTCATTATTCCGTTTACGCACATCAACGCGCCGACGTACCTGGAGTGGTTTATGCGTGCCGATATCACCCCCACGTACGAGTTTCTTAAATGGCAGCTGAAGTACCTCCAGTGGCGGGGACCCAAGGCGCCGCAGTGGTTGCCGAAATCGCCGGAGCATATTTTCTCGTTGCGGTCTATGCTTAAGGTGTTTCCCGACGCGCGGATTATCTGCACACACCGCGATCCCGTGAAGGTAATTTCGTCCGCGCACAGTCTGGTTCGGTGCTTTCGCTCGCTTACGTCAGAATCGGTGGATAACAGCATGATTGCGCCGTGGGCGCCGCATCTCGCGCGCGCGCTGGATGACATGATTGACCTGCGCGAAACGGCGGCACTCGGAGAGGACAGTAGCGGGGACGAGGAGGAGGCTTTTATCGGGGGCGAGGAGAGCGCGGACGAGAGCGGGGATGATAGCAGCGGCAGAGGCAGCAGCAGAAAAGGGCCGCGGAGCTTGACCAACAGCAGCGGGAGGAGCAGCAGGAGCAGCCATTGTGCTGCGAGGGAAGCAGCGCCCTCTGACGGCGTGGATGCGTTGCAGCAGTGGGACTTATCGCGGGCCGTCGATGTGCGATTCCACGAGTTAGTGCGAAACCCGATCGACGAAATCAAGCGAATTTACGCGCACTTCGACAACGAGCTGTCGCCAGTGGCGGAGGCCCGGATGCAGCTGTACCTCGACGAGGACCGGCAAGAGAGGAAAGCCCACTGCCACGTGTACAAGTGGGAGGACACGTGTCTGGATAAGGACCAGGAGAGAAAACGGTTTGCCTGGTACGTGAAATACTTAAACGTTGCACAGGAAGACTAAGGAAGCGGTCATATGGCCGAGGAGGAGGCTACGGGGTAGTTGAGTGGGCTGCTATTAGGCCCGCTGGCCTAAGTCCGCTAAAGAATTAGCGGGGTCGACTAAGTCGAGGATGAGGCGCGGCGGAAGACTTTGGCGAAAGAACTATTGGCGAAATAGGCGAAGAAGTTACTGAGTAATTGAAGAAGAGTTGAATGAGAATTGGTTGCTATTGGTGGATACAAGCAAGGATGATATAGCATGCAAGGTCGAATGTCGGAAAGTACTTCGTGGGACTAGAAAGTAGAAGCAAGAAAGGTAGAGTGCCACGTGGCACTAGGAAATCTGAAAAGATAAGGATAAGGATGGGGTTGGGAGTACTGTTCAAAGGGAACAGTAAACACCCCTCTAACACTACCCCCCTCCCAAGGAGGCGACGTCCGCGGCGCCTGCAGACTGAAGTTACGCTTGGAGGCAAGCGTTGTCGGGAGACAGCGAGGGCGAAGGAACCCAGCTGTCATCTGCTGCGTCGTAACCACGCCAACGAACCAAGAAGTCGATGAAAGAGACACCCCCCTGGAGACGGCGATGGTGCCTGAGGATGCGCTGGATCTGGTAGTCGGGCTCGTCGTTGTCAACAGCTACCGGTAGTGGAGTGCGCTCACGGCCCGAGAAGGTGGCGTTGGGATCGGTGTAAGGACGAAGAAGCGACACGTGGAATGACGGGTGCATGCGGAAATGAGCGGGAAGGCGGAGGCGGTATGCGACTGGACCAAGTGTGCGCTCAATGACGAATGGACCAATGAAGCGAGGGCGAAGCTTGTTGTCCTGTAGCAGTCGGAGGTTGCGGGCTATCCAAGAGAACACGATCGCCGACTGCGAACAACACCTCATGACGACTGCGGTTGGTGGTGCGTGCCATGCGTGCATTTGCGAGCTCAAGGTGCTTCCTCAGGTGATCATGAATGAAGGTGAGATGCTGGTGGATGTTGTCCGCACGAGGGACAGTGGGTGTGAGATCGACACGAGTGGGGACATTGGGGTGTCAACCGTACAGTGCGAAGAACGGTGACATGTCTGTGGCGGAGTGGTGCGTGTTGTTGTAGGTGAACTCTGCCATGCTCAGCTTCTTGTCCCATGCGGCTGCGTCGTGCATCGTGATGCTGCGAAGAATCTGCTCCAAGGTCTGGTTCACACGCTTGGTCTGTCCGTCTGTCTCTGGATGGTACGCAGACGACATGGCTAAGCGAGTCCCAAACAGTGCAAAAAGCTGCTTCCAGAACTTCGAAGTGAAACGAGGGTCGTGGTCTGAGATGATGGAATCTGGAACCCCGTGCAGTCGGACTACGTTATCTACGAACAGTGTCGCGGCTTCCTCTGCTGTGACCTTGCCGTGTGTGGGGATGAAGTGCGCTGCTCGAGAGAACTTGTCGACTATAACGAAGATGGCGTCGTGACCCCTAACTGTGCGCGGTAAAGCCATGATGAAATCCATGGTGATTACCTGCCAAGGGCGGTCGGGCGGTGGAATCGGCTGCAAGAGTCCTGCTTGGCGCTGGCGAGAGGACTTCGTACGCTGACACGTGTCGCACGAGCGAATGTAATCCTCTACGTCTGCTGCAAGCCCTGGCCAGTAGTACGTGCGACTAAGCGTCTTAGCCGTCTTAGTCGTGCGCCTCTGAGAGAAGGAGCTGTCGAAGAGGGCGGTAGGCTGGAACCCAAATCCGTGTGGTACCCTTTCGTATGTAGACACTACCCTGCACCTCTGCTCCTGTGGGCGGCTGCGGTGTGAAGTCGGGATCTACTGTGTATCCGTGCTCGAAGAGTGCTGTGAGAAGTGGGTGGCCGGCAGTGACTGTGAGACTAGCGAGCTGGCAACTAGGGTGAGTGAGCGAATCTGCTGGGTTGCGCACGCCTGGCTTGTACTCTATCCTGTAGTGGAAACTCCCCTCCATGAACTCCATCCATCTAGCCTGGCGACGACTCAGCTGCGGCTGCGACTTGAGAAAGCGAAGCGAACAATGGTCCGTGCGTATCACACTATCTGCCCCCTCTAGGTAGCACCTCCACACCTTATACGCGTGGATGATCGCGAGCGCCTCTTTGTCGTGAATTGGATAATTCAACTCTGCTCCCCTCAGCTTACGCGACTCGTACGCGATCGGCTGCAACCCGCGTCCCTGGTCCTGAAGAAGCACTGCTCCTATGGCCTGATCTGAAGCGTCGGTCACTACAACGTATGGGCGAGTGGGATCAGGGTACGACAGTGTTGGTGAAGACGTGAGCGACTGCTTCATCTGCTCGAACGCCTGCTGCTGAGCTGGACCCCAAACGTACTCCACGCCCTTCCGAAGTAGGTCGGTGAGTGGACTAGGGATCGATGCGTAACCCTGAACGAAACGACGGTAGTAGTTCGCGAAACCGAGGAAGCTCTGCAACTCCTTGACTGAGGTCGGTGCTACCCAAACCTGTACTGCTGCGATCTTTTTCGGTTCGGTCCTAATGCCACTAGCGGATACGACATGGCCTAGAAACTCGACCTCTGGAAGGAAGAACTTGCACTTCGACTGCTTAGCGTACAACTGCTCCTTCCGCAAAACCTCGAAGACCTTCTGCAAGTGCTGCACATGCTCCTCTTTCGTCTTGGAGAAGATTAGGATGTCGTCTAGGTAAACTACCACGAACGACCCTAGGAACTCGGAGAGGACGGTGTTCATGAGCATGTGAAACGTCGCTGGGGCGTTGGTCAAACCGAACGGTAGAACCCTAAACTCGTACAACCCCTGCTTCGTACGAAACGCCGTCTTGTGCTGGTCCTCTGGAACTACTCGAATCTGATGGTAACCCGAACGAAGGTCGATCTTTGAGAAGATTCTAGCGCCCTGCACTGCATCTAGGAGATCCTCTACTCTCGGCACCGGGAACCTATTCTTGACGGTGGCGGCGTTCAATGCGCGGTAATCTATGCACATCCGTAACCCTCCGTCTTTCTTAGGTGCGAAAAGGATCGGTGCTGCCCAAGGCGATCTAGATGGCTGTATGAACCCCTGCGCGAGAAAGTGCCTAACCTGCTACGTCATCTCCTCTGTCTCCTCTGGACTCAACCTCCACTGCGGCTTTGCTACTGGCCTACTCCCCGGCTCCAACTCTATTCGATGGTCTACTACTCGGCTGGGAGGTAACCCTGGGGGCAACTCGTCGAGGAAGACGTCTGCGAACTCTGCTAATAGTGCACTCACCTCAGCAGGAAGAGTCGCCTTCTCACCAACTGCTGCACTCCCTCCTTTCCCCTCCTCAGTTTCCACCTCTTCAAGGAAAACCGCAAAGATCCGTGCCGCTCGCTTCACCATCTGCCGCACACAAACAGCATTGATGATGGCTGTGGAGGATGTGGCCCCATCACTCCACTGTGGCAACACCTGGAACTCCCCGTCTACCTTGACGCTGCAGCTTCTCTGAGCCCAATCGAACTGAGTACTAACCGTCCGTAGCCAATCCCTACCGAAGATGAAGTCGTAACCGTCCAGTGTGGCAGAGTCGAAGTCACGCCTAACCGTGATTGGTCCTAGCACTACGCGCAACTTGCGAATGACTGGTCCTATGTGAAGTGGCGTCCCATCTACCATACGCGCGTCCTTGAAGTTGACTGCCGAATCTGCTTCAAGATGGAGACGATTGACTAATGAAGAAGAGACTAACGAGTGGCTAGCTCCGCTATCTACGGGAATCTTAACAGGAACTCCACGAAGCTTCCCTAGAAGCACGACTGGTCGGTCAACAGTGTCTACCTCGTTCTCCGTAGATGACTGCTGCAAAGCCGTCTCCTCTACGTTGGTAGACGTGGCGGGTACGGGAACCTCCACACCAGCTAGCGACCCGCTATCTACTGGCGGTTTCCGTTTCCCTCCTGCTGCTTCTTGAACTCTAGGCAGTCCCGCTTCATGTGTCCCGGCTTTTTGCAGTAGTGACAGTTCCCCCTAAAACCCGTTCGCTGCGAGCCGTCACAGTTAACTGCACCGATC